TTTTTTTTTTTTGTTTGTTTTTGTTTTTGTTTTTCAAGACAGGGTTTCTCTGTGTTGCTTTGGATTTTAACCTGGAACTCACTCTGTAGACCAGGCTGGCCTCCAACTCAGAGATCCACCTGCCTCTGCCCCCCCACCCCACCCCCCAGTGCTGGGATTAATGGTGTAAGCCACCAACACCTGGCCCCCTCATACAATTGTGATGATTAAAGATGATATATGCAAAATTCCTGGAAGAGCACTTTAACATGTGGTAGATGCTGTACATGTTAGCCTTTAATAATAGCTGTGGGCTGTCCAGGCTCTAATGTTTCTGTTGGGTGGTAACTTCTAATCATTTGGTTATATGTCCAATAGGCCACTGGTGTGAAATTGCCAACTCCCATGCAGAGCCTGGGTGCCATTACCACAGGCACGAGCACCATTGTCCGTACCATTCCTGTGGCCACCACACTCTCCTCCTTGGGTGCCACTCCTGGTGGGAAGCCCACTGCCATCCACCAGCTGCTGACCAATGGGGGTCTCGCTAAGTTGGCAAGCAGTCTACCTGGCTTGGCTCAGATTTCTAACCAAGCATCAGGTAAGTCTCATGAAAATAATGGGGACTCCAGATATGGACTTTTCCATAGCACTTTACTAGCTATCTCAGTTCCACATGGTCCTGGCTTTGATTCTTGGATTCAACTCTGTGGAGCCAGCCCCCAGGGAGGTCTAGAGAACATAGGAAGTTTCCTTTTGCCTTTTAAATCGACTGATAGGGGTAGACCTACCTACCCAGGAAAGAAGCCAAGAAGATGTTTTACATGGGAAGAAACTATTACCTGAAAGAGACTATGAATCCTTTCTTCCTTTCTCTATGTCTGTCTGTCTCTTCCTTAGGCTTAAAAGTCCCCACCACCATTACTCTGACACTCCGTGGCCAGCCAAGCAGAATCACCACTCTAAGCCCTATAGGCTCAGGAGCAACACCATCCGAGGAGCCCGCTTCCCAGATGCTGCCCTCTAACTCACAGGTGAGTTGGCTTGGATGTACTCAGGAAGTGAACGCCAATCCTAGATACATTTAGGGCCATCCAAAGGGTTGACTGTAGCTGCCATTACACTAAATTTATTGCCAGACCAGATTCAAATTTGAACCCTGAGGCTTTGTCACTTTGAGCAAAGCAGGGCTTCTTTAAGTCTCCTTATCTGTAAAACTCATAGCTATTGTGAGGATTGAGTTTGGAAATACTCAAGTATGGCCGTGTCTGGGGTATAATGTTTTTATGTATTTGCCTCTTTTTCTCCTCCTACTGTTGGTTTTATCATTCAGAGCTTGTGAGTAAAAGCTGATTCTCAGACCTTGTCTTTATTGCTGTCTTTAGGGTATAGCTAGTTTTTTTTAGGGTTTACCTAGAAGTTGCCATCAGTTCCTCTTAGCTAATTTCCATTATGTCTTTTTAAAAGTAAAATAAAATGTTCTTATTCTAAAAATGTTGATCTGAGAAACCATCCAAAGATAGGAGGCTAAGCAAAAACAGTCTTGGTCCAACATTGTACCATTCTCCAGAAGCCAGTTCAGCCAGACCTTCTGCATATGGTCAAAGAGCTGTATAGGTTACTTATCGTCAGGTGGGCCCAGTCCCTGTACTTCCACCAGGCCAATCTGCCTGGGCACAGAGGAGCTGGGTACTTACCTTACTTAGTTAGGGTTTCTGTTGCAGTGAAGAGACACCATTACCATGGCAACTCTTACAAAGGAGAACATTTGATTGGGGCTGACTTCCAGTTTCAGAGGTTTTGTCCAGTATTATGGTGGGAACATGGCAGCATGTAGGCATGGTTCTGGAAAAGGAGCTGTGAGTTCTACATCTTGATTTGCAGGCAGAAGGAGAAACTGTGGCACATTGGGCATAACTTGAGCCCACCTCCACAGTGACACATTTCCCATGGGGAACCATTTTATTTCAAACCACCACAGTTCTACTGCAGGCACCCTACAGTTCCCAAGCTATTCTCTAAGCCCTTCTGTCTCTTTACTTTTAGCAGGAAGTGCTATGCAGAGACCAGAACCTGACATCTAGTTACCTCTTTTTTGCAGAGGAATTGAAAATGCTTTTCTTTCTTCCTTTTTTACATTATTTGTGTGTGCGTGTGAATGTGTGCTCGTGCCACAGCATATGTGGTTTCTACCATAGGAGTTCTGGGGACCAAACAGTTTAATCAGGCTTTGTGGCAAGAGCCTTTACCCAGTGAACTATCCCTGTGGCCTGGTGGAATTTTTTTTATAGGTTTTGTTTCTTGAGACAGGGTTTCTCTGTGTAGCCCTGGATGTTCTGGAACTCTGTAGATCAGGCTGGCCTCAGACTCACAGAGATCCACCTTCTTTTGCCTCCCAAGTGCTGAGGTTAAAGGTGTGCATCACCACTGTCTGACATTGGCCTAGTGTTTTTATCTTTTTTTTTTTTCAAGAACAAAAATAATTATGCTTACTTTAAATTTCTGGAATATTACAGGAATAATATAATTTAGAAAATGTTTAAATTGTGGCTGGAGAGATGGCTCAGATAAAGAGCACTACTGGCTGCTATTCCAGAAGACCTGGATTTAGTTCCCAGCAACCACATGGTGGCTCACAACCATCTGTAATAGGATCTGATGCCCTCTTCTGGCCTGCAGGTATACATGCAGAGCACTCATATAAAATATAAGTAAATAAAATTTTAAAATGTTTAAATTTCTCATGGTGCTATTCTCATGGATGCTATAATAGCTTGATGGAAAGTTTTCTAGACTTCTATTTTTTAGTTAAAATCTTTTTCTCTGTGTGTCTGTCTCTCTGCTATTTATTTACATGTGGCACATGTGCTGTGTGGCATTCGTATTTTCTTAGTTTGGTTTTAATTGCTGTGATGGAGACCATAACAAAAACAACTTGGGGAGGAAGTAATTATTCCACCTTAAAGTCCATCAGGGCAGGAACTCAAGACCAAATCTGCAGGCAGGAACTGAAGCCCAGGCCAAGGAGGAACACTGCTTATTATCTTGTTCTTTATGGCTTGCTCAGTTTGCTTTCTTTCTTTTTTTTTTTTAAGATTTACTTATTTAGTATATATACAGTGTTCTGCCTACATGTATGCCTGCAGGCAGGAAGAGGGCACCAGGTCTCATTATAGATGGTTATGAGCCACCATGTAGTTGCTGGGAATTGAACTCAGGACCTCTGGAAGAGCAGTCAGTGCTCTTAACTTCCGAGCCATCTCTCCAGCCCTGAGTTTGCTTTCTTATACAAGCCAGGACCACCTGCCTAGGAGTGCCACTGCCCACGGTGAGCTTGCCCCTCCCACATCAATTGTTAGTCAGAAAATGCTCTTTAGATTTCCATATATGTAAATGATGGAAGCATTTTCTCAGTTGAGGTTCCTCTTCCCAGGTAATGAGCTGTGTCATATGTGGGGATTAGAGGACAACTTTTTGGAGTTGGATCTTAGTCACCTCTGTGAATTTTGACATATGGTGGCTTTATATTAATTCTTTGTTACACAGTTTTTTATGCTTTATCCCAATCAGTAGCTTGTCTTTATTATATTTGTTTTTTTGTGTATGTGTATGAATATTTTGCCTGAAAATGTATGTGTGCATTCTGTGTAGCCTTGGCTGTCCTAGAATGTGCTCTGTAGACCACGCTGGCCTCAAATTTACAGGGATCTGTCTTCCTCTGCCTCCCAAGTGTTGGGATTAAAAGCATGTGCCACCACCGCTCAGCTTTTATTTCTGTTTTTGAGGCAGGGTTTTGCTGTGTAGGCAAATTGTCAAGCCTTAGCCTTAGCCTTGCAAGTACAAGTACCACCATGCCTGTAAATTTTCATGCCCATTGAAGTAAAGGGTGTCTGTTTATCCTTAAAAAGCATTTGAAGTCCTCTGCTTTTATATTCCATGTCACTACACATATATGGAACTTTTCTATGACACTGTCCTTTTTCTTTCTACACTAGCTTTTTGTTGTCTGAAAATGCAGGATCCATGCCCTTTTAGTATCATCCACATGAGATAAACACTTCCTTTTTAGTTTAAATGATTCATTAAATAGCATTCCTAATATTCAACTGTCTGAATTCCAAATTCAGTGGTTTATTTCGTATGTCCTGTTGGGTTTTTTGTTTGTTTGTTTGTTTAGTTTATTTCTTTGAGACAGGGTCTTATTGCATAACCCTGGATGGCTTTAAACTTTTGATTATCTTAGTTTAGCCTCTGAAATGCTAGGACTGCATGCACCAAACTATCTCATCTTAGTTTTTCTTCAGTTTTTTGTGTTTGTGCTGGGGGTATTTCTGTATTGTTCAGACTGCTCTCAGATGTGCAGTGTATCTCTTCCAAGTTGCCAGAATTACAGACCTGTTTCTACCATGCTACTTTCTTGTTCTTTCCTGAGAAAGGAAGGACCTGCTATTTAAAAGAAGCATATCCTTTTGATTAATGTCTATTTCACTTGAGATTTTTAGCTCCATTTATTAATGTTAGCCTATTGTTGTTGTGTTTTTCCCTTTTTTTTTTGCTTCCACCTCGTTCGTGTGTGTGTGTGTGTGTGTGTGTGTGTGTGTGTGTGTGTGTGTGTGTGTGTGTGTGTGTGTACACACGTACACTGTGGCTGACCAGTTTTAGAAAAGATCAGTTCACCCATTGTAGAATATAATAGGAAGAGAGTTTGGGGTTTTTTGTTGTGCACTGCATTACAGTACAGAAGTGTTCTGTTCCTTTGTGCTTTGATGGACATGATCTTCATGGCCTGTTTTGAGACTGTCTTTGACTTTGCTGGTGTCACATTGATGTGCAACTAGAATACAGGTTGCTACCTTCCCTCTGAGAGTTGAGGTTATTGAGGATCCTTGTTTTCCATGCTAAATTGAAGCGCAGGATAAAAGCTGAGTGCTGGTCGTCTATTTAGGTTTAACCCAGATTGGTTTTCGTGTGAATAAAGTGGGTGCGTTATTGTTAGGCAGGGGGTCCACTGATGGTCCTTCTCCAACAGGCAAGGGGGTGTTAGGACAGGAAGGGCTGCTGACTGAAAGCTTCTAGTACACACCTCAATGTGTACACTGTCAGACAATATGGTATTAAGGAAAGAACACTGCTTTGGGTTAGGCTTTGTCTTCATTTAGTAGCTGGTAATCCGGAGCACATCAAATGAATTATTGAGGTTAGGGCTCTTTCATCAAGTTTGCTGAGATTGACAAGTCAGTGTCTTAGGTAGGGTTTCTATTGCTATAATAAATACCATGACCATAAACAACTTAGGTGGTAGAGGGTTTATTTCATTTTACATGTCCAGATCACAATCCATCCTGAAGGGGAGTCAGGGCAGGAACTGAAGCAGAAGCCTAAGGAGGAGGATGCTTGCTAACTTGTTCTCTTGGCTTGCTCAGTCTACTTTCTTAGAGGACCTAGGACCAGCCCAGGGGTGGCATTGTGCACAGTGAGACTGGTTGATTGCCAATCAAGAAGATGCACTACAGGCTTGCCCACAGACCAATCTGGTGGGGGCATTCTCTCAATTGAAGTTCTCTCAAAAGTGACTCTCGTTTCAAATTGACATAAAACTAGCCAGCAGAGTCCAGGACCTTACAAATACAAATGTTTAAATGTCAAAAACCAAACCACCCACTTTTTATTTATGAGACAGTTGGAAGTTTGAACACTCAGTGGACACTTGTTATTAAAACATTGTTTGCTTTTGCTGTTATTTTTGAGACATGGGATCAAATATGTAGCTCAGACTGGTCTCTACTTTAGCATTCTTCCTCTGCCTCCCAAGCACTGGAGTTTCTGTCCTCATGCCTAGCATTTGTTATACTTTTTATATGTGGTAATGGTATTTTACCTAATTTTTGTTTTGTTGTTTGAGACAGGGTTTTACTATATGTGGCCATGGCTGGCCTGGAACTCACTATGTAGATCATGTTGGCCTCAACCTCAGAGACATCAACCTGCCTTCTAAGTGCTGGGATTAAAGGCCGGAAATGCTATTGGCTCATTTAATGAAAAACCAGTTCTCTCTGAGTGGGGATGCTCAGGTCTTGCCTGATATGCATGAAACCCTAAACACACCAAATCTCAGAGACAGAGTCAAGAGACTCAGAAGGTCATCTTCACCTGACCTGGGCCAATGGGAACATATCTTTAAAAAGTAGTTGCCGTTGTCATTATCTTCTTCCTCTTCTTTTTAGTTTTAGGATTTCTATAGTACTCTTGCGTGGAATGGGTTTTAAGAAAAAGCATAAGTACCAACTAACTTTGGTTATATCCATGAAAGCATTGAATTACCTCGTCTCTGGACTAAATAGTGCTTCTAACATGTTTCCTTGACGGGAATGAGCTATTATTGTGTGTCCTGATAGCTAAGGGCTGCAAATGGAAGAAGACTGTGTTGTAGCATACACCACAGTTCTGAGAATGGACTCCTAGCCGATACTCCACTCTCTGTGTCCTGACCACACCATGTTGGTGGCAGGCTGGGAGGCCCTCTAACTGTTGTCTGTGGCAGTGGGCCTCACTGCAGCCTTGCAGGAGTCCCTGCCCAGTTATGCTCACTTAAAATCAGGGCAGTGACCTCCTTTATGAGCCCTGTTTTGTCCTGGGTCTGTGTAAGCAAGTAGGAAGTGGATCCTCTGAGAGATTATCTAACCCTTCTTCATCCTTCCCCTCCCACACTCTTGTTCACTGTGGTCCTGTGGTTTCTGAAAGTGAAGTGTAGAAACGTGGTAGACTTGTTGAGAAGATCCCATCCTTCCACCTGGCTTCCTTTTTCCCAGGCTGCAGCCTCACAGTGCGTGGTACCCTTCATGCCTCCAAAATTCCCAGGACCTAAAATTATATTGGCGGAACAGTCGTGGAAATTCCCCATTGATTCTGTCTAGTTACTCACCTGTTTCCTTTTCTTTGCATTCCACTTCTGTCCTTGGGTGTAATAAATGCTACTAAGAGCTGATTGTTGTGGTTGAGCATAGATTATACTGTTAATGCTTTATGCAGTCATTTCACTTAATCCTCACAGCAATCCTGGGAAGTAGGTGCTGCCATCTGTGTCTACAGGTGATAAAAAGGAAGCTCAGAGCCTGTGAGCTAGTGAGCCCCTTACCTTAATGAGGGCTAGGTGAGCCTGACTCCAGAATCCACACTCTTTTAAGTACATGACACCAGAGGGTCTTGCGCATCTCTCCTGTTGATCATTCCCTTGGATTGAGTTCTCAGGAGTGAGATGATTGGCTCAGAGGAGGGTTCTAACCTGCGCAAGCTTTAACCCTTTTCACCCTTCTGCCCACAGCGCCTGCCTCCAGCACCCTGAATGTGCCAGCGATATGTCCTCCTTACCAGGTTGGTGACAGCTGCCTCAAGGTGAACCGTGTGGTCCTGCTGAGCCGTCTGAGTGTCTGAAGACATCCTTAAGACAGTCGTTTTCACCTCTCTACCAGCTGTCTTTGGGGCTGGGCCTCTGGGTCTTGAGAAAGCCTTAGGGTGGGTGATAATAGTGCCAGCAAGCGGGGTGCTATCCAGGTCCAGCAAGTTGGTTCCTAGAATCCCCAGCAGGACTGGCCATGTGTGGATTATTGGCATTTCTGTCCTAAGAGTAATGCAATTTGACTCCAGTGTCAGTATAGAACTGCTCACTGAAGTTTCATGATGAAGGCAGGGAGAACTGGGCTGTTAGCTTTCAGCCCTTTAGCTGCTGGGGAAGTGAGGATGATGGTTACAAGACTATGTTTTGTGCACTTCCTGTACCAGAGAGCCTGTAGGTACAAAAATACTGAAGGTGGAGGATGGAGCAGCCAGAGGGAATGGTTGGCAAGACATACCCACAGACCTGATGCTGCTGACACTGTGGGCTGGGGACTCTGCATGACACTTGAGGACCTAAGATTAGCTAGAGAAGTCAAAAGGAAAACCTGGATCCCTGAGAGTCCTCTTTGGTGCCTAATGATGAAGCAGATTGATCAGCCACCATGCTCTCTCTGCTGTTCTAGGAAGCGTGGGGCAGTAGGACAGTGAAGGCTGTGCTTCAGAGTTCATTTCCTTTCCTTCGAGCTTGTCTCTCTGCTTAGAAGTAGGAAGGTTGTAGTGACTACTGTGTGAGGCTCTGGTGCCAGCCTGAACCTTGTAGATCATGGTCCCTGGTGATATGGGCACGGAAGGGGGAGCTGAGCCTCTCATTTCCTATGACACTGTGCAGACGTAGCCTGGAGTTGGGCTCTGAATATGTGTTCCAGAGCATGCTCCTTTCCTTTTCATATGTAGAAAGTTTCCATCAAGATGAGAAATAAAGCAGCTCAATGTGACTTTGTTCCTGGGGCCATATAAACAGCTACACCAAAGCCTCTCACTTGTAATCTAAGTGGAACATGTAGTGTTGAGGAGTCTCAGGCAAGTGAGGTCAGAGATGTGTGATAGGAGTAGAGAGTGGTCTCCATCCTCCACACCCTTGCCTTGGCTGTGGAGCTGCATGGACAGAGCTTCAGAGTGGGCTGTATTCTGAAATTCAGAAGGTGTTCGGTGAAGTTGAGAAGGTATGAAATCTGGAAGAAGCCTGCAGTGCTGAGGCTTCGATAACTTTATAGTTCAGAGCATATAACCACCAAAAGAGAGGATAAGACTGGGCTCTGAAACTTGGAGGGTTATTTAGGTTGGCAGAGAGCCCTGAACAACCCTTTGTGACTTAGGAGAACAGCTTGAACTACACTGGAGGGGCTGCTCCTGAAAGATGCTGCCCCTGTGTTCTGGAACCAAAGAAAACGTGTATCCTGCTTTGGTGGTGGATCTATGTACATCCCATGGGTGACTTCTGAGGCATGGCCTATATACCTTGAAGAACTGCAAAACTGAGGAAGGGGAGCTACAACTGATCTTCACCTTGGGGGACTGACCCGACAAGAAAGTGGCTGGAGTCTGTAGATCACATTCCTCAGATCCCATCTCAAACTACATAACTTGGAATGTGGAAAGGATGCTTTACCCTACCTATCTTGTGGCAGACTTGAGGGCATAGCCTCAGAAGGTAATACTCTTATGGAGTATGTAGACGGATCAGGAAGGCTTTAAATTCTAGGGCAACAGATGTATTGTAAATGTCCCATGGAGGATGTCTGTGGCTTTGAGGAGAGGTCACAGGGACAGAGACTTGTCCACCTTTGGTTGTATCACTATATTAATTTGGGGGTGTATGAATTCATAAAAGTGAGCCATAGTGATGGCTCTGATCTTAACGTTAGCAAAAAGAATTAAAAAAAAAAAAAAAACTTTACATTGCTTCAGCTTGTTTTCATTTGATTCTGCACGGTTTGGGAATTGCCTGTGTAGTGGAGACAGACTATAGAGAGTGGTGGTGCTTGAGGTTATCTTGCTGTGTCAGCTGCTGAGGCCTAAGCACTGTAATTCTTAAGGAAAATCAAAACAAAAACAGGTTTCATGTAGTCTAGGCAGGTCTCAGATTTACTGTGTAGCTGAACTGGCCTTTAATTCCTGGTTCTCTGCTTCTGCTCCCAAATTCTGGGAATATGGGCACTTACCACCACACCCAGCTGTCATTCCCTTTATGGGTGAGGAAGAGGTGTGGTCTGATGTCTGTCCTGGGTTCTGAGATGGAAGACCAGCCTAGGAGATGACAAGTGGCCCTTTGCATTTTCCTACCAGGCCAAGAGTGATTGTTGTCTGAGTGGAGCTCTCACTAGACCTCGATCAGTAGCTAGTCCTAGCAGACAATTGCACATCCTAAGGCTGCCCCTTTGACCCCGAAATAAGGACTTAGGTGGATAAATGGATTCTACCCTTCAGCTTACTTGTGCATCTGCAGAAAAAGGGATCTCTACCTCTTTTGGTCCTTCTAGTGTTCCACCTTAGAACCCAGAACAGACCACACACACCTCTTCTCACCTATAAAGGGAATGCCAGCTGAGTGTGCCAGCAAATGCCCATACTCCAGCATTCAGGAGGCGGAAGCAGAAGAATCAGGAATTAAAGGCCAGTTCAGCTACACAGTAAATCTGATGAAACAAGTCTTTGCTGCCTCTTCGTCTTCTTTCTAAGACATTTTAGGACTGGTAGTTAGAAGGAGCAGAGACTCCTTTACTATGTTCAGTGGGCATTCTTCACCTCCCAGCTCCTTGTTTTGAGATTGGTTCTTGTCTAGCCCAGGCTGGCTAGGAACTCATTTATCTAGCCCAGGCCAGTGTTGAGCTCCAGTAGTCTTCCTGCCTCAGACTCATTATAGGATGACCCTCAGAATCTGACTTTAGAAAGCATCTTACAGATAGGGCACCTTGGTGCTTCTGCCCTGTGACCTTGTTTTCAGGATTTGGTTGGTCTTTAATTATTTTACTCTATATATAAAATTTTTGTCTGCATGCATGTGTATGTACTATATATATGCCTGTTGGAATCCCTGGAACTGGTATTACAAATGGCTGAGACAGACACCATGTGGGTTCTGGGAATTGAACCCAGGTCTTCTGCAAGAGCATCTTGTGCATGCCCTTAACTGCTGGGTCATCTATCCAGCCCTCCTCCCCCCATTAGTGTTTTTCCCCATTGTTACAGGACTGTCCAGCCCAGACTCCTTTGTGGGTTCCCATCTCTCAGTTCAAATTCCAAAAACAGAGCCTGATTGACCTGAGCCTACTTAAGGGCTGGTTCTTAACCCACCCATTCCACAGTTCAGTTCATATCACTGCCTTTTGAAAAGAAGAAATGAGACAAACTATTGAGCTGTTTTGCTGTGTGTATGCTCTAAGAGTGATAGTGTAGGGCCTGTGTGCCCTCACCAACTTTCCCCCACTGCCTGCATTGCACCTGACTAGTATACCAAAATGAGGAAATTGAGGGCTGGGGAGGTGACTCACTGGGTCAACGTGCTAGTTGATTAGCCTGATGAGCCAAATTTGCTTCCCCCAAACCCACATAAAAAGCTGGATTGGTTGCGTGCATTTGTAATCTCAGCACTCCTACAGGAAGGTAGAAAGTGGAAACAAGAATTGCCTGGAAGCTTGTGGGCCAGCTAGCCTGGAGATCACAGTACAGCTGAACAGACAAGAGACCCTGCCTCAACAAGGTAGAGGGGAAGAACCAGTTCTCCAGAGCTGTCCTCTGACCCCCACTACTGTGCTATGGCAAACAATGCACATACAGTTTTCTTTTAATGAGCAAGTGTTGGTTCGATGTGTGGGGGTCTCTATCACCGAATTCTTGCAACCACAGTCAAGGCACAGCTATCCCACTCCTCTGCACAGGGTTCTTGTCCTACCCTTGATAGTCACTGCCCATCTCAGCCCATAGCAACCACTAATCCCGTCTACGAGTCTGTAAATAGAACAATATATAAATAGCACTGTACAGTACATGACCTTTGAGGTTGTCTCTTTTTCCCTTCAGTGTAATCCCTTTGATGTCTGTCCAAGTTGAGTGAGGTTTAAAATAGTTCATTTCTTTTATTCTAAGTAGTAGTCATGATGTGGGTATGCCGAAACTTCAGCATTAGCTTGTTAAGGAACCTTTTTTTTTCCTTCAGGTTTTGAGACCAGAGCATGTCTTCAGGATTAACTGGATGCTGCAGCAGCTGTCCTCTTAAGTTTATCTGTTGTTCCTTCACAGAATCAATCCATGTCTGAGTTTGCATTCGGTGGTTTTTCAGATGTCTTATTTGTTCAGTCTCGGTATCCTGTCTCTTAGCTTTCACACTCCATTTACACTTTATCTTGAGGCACATTTGTTACAGGTACGCTTCTGAAGGCATAAGGCCTTAGAGCCATGGCAGCAGCAGTGTGTTGGCATTTTACCGCCATGCTTTCAATAGATCCCTTCATTATCTGCATCTGAGGCCAGAGAACTTGGGGGCCATCTTGATGTCTTTAACTGCAGCAAGTGATTGTATGCAACTTTTTGTGTTGACATTTGGTTTCACTTCTCAGGGGTAAATGTCCAAAAGTATAATTACTGGGTCCTGTTGTGAAGTTTTAGTTTTATAAGAAACCGTCAGCCGGGCGTAGGTGGCACATTCCTTTAATTCCAGCACTTGGGAGGCAGAGGCAGGTGGATCTCTGTGAGTTTGAGACCAGCCTGGTCTACAAGAGCTAGTTCCAGGACAGGCTCCAAAGCTACACAGGGAAACCCTGTCTCAAAAAACCAAAAGAAAGAAACTTTCTAGAATAGCTGTGCCGTTTTGCATTCCCAGCAGCAGTGTAGGAGAGACCTGCTGTCTTACCCCCGCCCATCACTTGATGTCTTTTATGTCGTCAGTCTAACAGTGTGCAGGTGATAGTCATTTGGTCTTTCATTTACTGAGACTTGCTTATTATGATCTGGAATGTGGTCCACTTTGTCCCTTGTTCTGTGGACACTTAATGTTTATTCTGATGCTATTAGGTTCCACAGATGTCAGTAAAAATTCTGCTCATAGTTTGTTCTTAAGTGTCTTTGGTGGTATTCTGTCATGTTCTGTCAGGGTAGTGTTGAAATCTCCAACTATAATCTTTTTTTCAGTTCTGTTATTTGATACAAATGCATTTGGAATTCCTTTGTCTTTTTTATGGGTTGACCTATTTGTCATTGTGTAGTGTCCCTGTCTGTTGCTGTTAGTTTTTTTTCCTGAAGTCTGTCTTAGTCTTTCTCTGACTCTGTCTCTCACCACCCCCACTCTCTTTTCTTGGGACAGAGTCCAGGGCCTGTCTGAACACACTGAAGTGCTCTCGGTCTATTGGCATCCTTTTGATTAGTGTTTGTATATTTTTTCCATTCTTTGTTTTAAACTTCCCTATATGATTACGTGAGATGTGAACGTCTAGTGTGCACTTAGCATGTGATTTTCCCTCCGATGATCTTTCAATTGGTGGCTTTAGACTGTTGCCATTACATATAATTATAGATATGTCAGGACTTCAGTCTGCCCTTTTAGTTCCTGTTTTCTGTTGTGTTGTTTTCTTTTTTCCCTACCATTGTGGGTTTCTTGAACAATTTTTTTTTTTTTTAGAATGCAGTTTTGATTGGCCTATAGTGTTTTTAAGTGTATCTCCTTATACAGTTATTCTGATGTGTGCTCTGAAGTGTTCCACTATATGACATAACTTGCTTTATGGTGCTGAAAGTCCAGCCAGGGCCTTGTACATGCTGAGCACGCATGCTTGCACCACAGCCCTACACCTTACCATGCTGGGTGGGCCCTTCCTCCTACTTCTAATACGATTGCAGTTTCAGAGCCTCTCCAGACAGGGCTTAAAGTTTGCTATGTAGATGGGGCTTTTGGGATTTTTATTAAAAGGTAATTTCGGACGGGTGGGGGCAACAGTTGTGGCTACCCATTTTCACCCTTTCTTTCCCTCTTACTGATGTGCCAAGATTCCTTCTGTTACTGTTTCTCTTCTGTTTAGAGAAACTTGATTTAGCTGTGCCTCTAAAGGTCAGCTAGCAACAAATTCTATAACTTTCCTTTGTCTGGAAATGTCTGCTGCTAGACTGCTGTGAAAATTGTGGAAATTATGTTTGTGCCTGGAAGAAATACCAGAAGTAGAATACAAATAGCCAAAGTGATAATTGTCTAGTTGATGTCAGGCAGCTGTGCCTATAAGCCCAAACACTCAAGTTTCTTTTGGAAGGTTTGCACAGGTGACTCCATTTTTGTTGTTATTGTTAGTTTGTGGTTCACACATATAATCCCATAGCTGAGACTGAGACTCTAGGGTACACTGGCCGGCTAGCCTAGCCTAACAGGTGAGTCCCAAGTTCCAGTGAAAAAAGACTTTTTCTCAAAACAGAAACTACAAATACCCATAGGTGTATGTCTCCTGAGGAAAAACATCTGAGGTTGATTCCTAGTGCACGCACACACACACACACACCAACCACACGATGAAAATATGCCAATAAGGCTGGAGATTTAGCTCAGTGATCATGTTTGCCTAGCATACAAGAAGCCCTGGGTTTGATCTCCAGCACCAAATTAAACCAGGCATGGTGCCATACATCTGTCATACCAGCACTCTGGAGCTGGAAGCAGGAGTATCAGAAGTTCAAGCTCATCCTTGGCTACATAGTAAGTTTCATGTGGTATGACTGGTATTTTGTTTTACTTTTCTATATAGTGTTCTATTCATAATTTCAATCCCACAGGTACAGATGGCAATCTGCCAAGAGTATCATATTTTCCTCAAGACCCATGAGCTCTTAGTGAAATGACTAAGCAACTCCATCATATTCTACAATAAGTCTCTAGAAGTGGGATCATGACCTCATAGTCTGATTTCATTTTCACTTTTT